CTCGCTTGGGAGGATGACAACGAGAGCGCCTCCAATGAAGGGGGGTGGGGGAGTGCTGGCGGCTGGGGAACAAGTGACACAGGCGGCTGGGAAGCCGTAACCGGCGGTGACACAGGCGGCTGGGGAGCAGTAACTGGCGGCAATACTGGCGGATGGGGCACAACATCTGGCGGAGAGACGAGCGGCTGGGGAGCTTTCCGCGAGGATCAAAGGGGGGAAGAGGAAGAAGAAACTGCGCAAGTTGAGGTCGAACCTCCTGTTGTTCCTCTTGGACGCCCTCCGCGCCGCCCTGCATTAGCACCACCGCCACCAGACATCCCTTCAGGAAGTGACCCCTGGGACACCATTGACTGGGGTAACGAGCCATCCACCCCGCGACGCACTGTCTACGGACCTGCCCCTGAACCGCGCGAACCGACATTTGTCCCTGGCACGATCCCTGGAACCAACATCCCCTACTCCATTATTCGAGACAGGGAATTCCTCGCCCTAATGTTAACAACGGCGAACGAAGAAGAAGAGCACGAGGAAGCAGCGGCGACTTTTGCCCAAGCACCTGATGAAGACCCCGCAGAGGCACTCGCGCGCTACATGCGCACCTCTGGTTTTCGCGCCGACGATGCCATCTGGCACCAGCGCCTAGGTCACCCCTCACGCGTGACCCTAAAGAACTGTATCGAGGCCGGCGTCTTCGCACCTGGCGCACTGCTGCGCCCTGACGGCTCCGAAGTAAGAGGCGGAACTCACCCGCGCACCTGCACCATTTGCCCCGAGGCCGCGCTGAGTCACCAGCCTTTCCCCCTGCTCGAACCAGGAACCAACCGCTATGCCAAGTTAGAGAAAGTTTACAGTGACTTTCTCAACGTGGGACATTGCGGCATCAACGACGAACTCTACACGCTCACCTTCGTCGACGCCGGAACACGCCACGTGTGGGTCGTAAACGTGGAAGCGCGCAGCAGAGCATACGAAGCATTCCGCCTTTGGCTGGCGCACGCGCAGCGGCAATCTGGGGAGAAGTTGAAGATCTGGCAGTCCGACGGCGCGGCGGAGTTCAGGAGCAAGGAGCTGCAGGACTACCTTGTGCAAAAGGGGATCGAACATCACATTTCCCTCCCCTATGCACACCAACAGCAGGGCGTAGCAGAGCGCACGAATCGCACTCTCATGATGAAAGTGAGAGCGCTAATGAGGCAGTCGAAGCTTCCGCCGATCTACTGGACCTACGCAATGCACCATGCCGTACGGGTGCACAACCTACTGTCAACCACCGCGATCACCGGCAACTCCTCACCGCACGTAAAGTGGACGGGGAGGAAGGGCGACACATCCATGCTCCGCGTGTGGGGATGCATGGTCCAGTACCGCCCGCCAACATCAACCATCGGCAAGTTCAAAAGCCGCGCGCGCTGGGGGGGTCCATCTCGGGATCAGCCACGAGTACAAGGCGTGGATCATTCTGGATCTCCTGAGCCAGAAAATCAAGAACGCACGCGACGTCATCTTCTACGAGGGCCTCTTCCTCCAGCAGTTCCGCGAAGACGAGCAGACGAGCGCGAACCGCGTCTACGCCAACGACGGCCACAGCTACGCCTCGCCTGAGGACGAAGCCGCAGCAGCAATTCTGGAGCAGGACCCCAGAGGCGAGTTCACGAGAGGCGATCGACGCGACGACGACGACGACGACGATGATTCAGGAGAAGGAGGAGCGGGCGCAGCAGGAGGCGCAACAGGAGGAAGCGGAAGCGGAAACGGCGCAGGAGCAGCACCATCAGCCCCACCAGAACCAGAAAGCGACGACGATGATGTGCAGGAAGTCATCCCACAGCATCGCCACGACAGCACCGTCACCGGAATGCAACTCCTCGGGCTCCATGCCGCCATCTCAACGGCGCCACGTGTCATCGAGCCTAAGAACCCACGGCAAGCACTCACGGGACCTCACAGCAAGGAATGGCGCGAGGCAATGGATGCGGAGATCAGGGCACTCGAGTCACGCGACACCTGGGTACTCGTCGACCGTGCAGCAGTGAAGGGGAGAAGGATTCTTTCCGGCAAGTGGGTCTTCCGCGTGAAGACCGGAGCTGACGGGACGATCGAGCGCTTCAAGGCGCGCTGGGTAGTGCGCGGCTACGACCAGAGGCACGGGATTGACTTCGATCAAACGTTTGCGCCGGTTAGCCGTCACACGTCCGTCAGGATACTCCTCGCCATCGCAGCCGCACGACATCTGCCGCTCCGACAGATCGATGTCAAGAACGCATTCCTGTACGCGCTCGTAGATGCAGTGATCTACGTGGAGCAGCCGCACACATACGGCGAAGGAGATTCTTGGGTCTGCCAGCTGCGGAAGTCCCTTTACGGGATCAAACAGGCGCCGAGACTCTGGCAGCAGTACCTGCACAACATACTGCTTGAAATCGGGTTCAAGCAGCTGCCTCACGATCCTGGGATGTATCGCCGCGATTTCCGCGACGAATACATCCTACTCACGGTCTACGTCGACGACCTCCTCTACACAGGGTCAAGCAACGAGCTGCTTGAGCAATTCAAGAAAAACCTCGCAGGGCGCGTCGACATCACCTGCAATCATGACGTGAAGCATTTTCTCGGGCTCAACATCACTTACTCCCCAGAAGCCATTCATCTCTCAGCAGGGAAGTATGCAGAGGAGCTTAGCAAGCGCTTCAACATTGCGCCTGCACCACTCTCCACCCCTTACCGCACCCCAGGACCCAACCACAAGCCTGACAACAAAGCCCTGTCCCCTGCTGGGCTTCACACCTACCAGCAGCAGTTGGGATGCCTGCTCTTTGCATCTGTTACCTGCAGGCCCGACCTTTCCTACATCGCGAGCTAGTTGGCTCAGTACTCTCGCAAACCAAGGCTGAGAATCTACTAGATCTCCAGCGGGCGCTCCAGTTCTTCATCTCCACGCCCAGCATCGGGCTCTGCTACTCCACCATCCCAACTTCATCCTTCAACCTCATCGGCTACGTGGACGCCGATCACGCCGCTGACCCTGACAATCGACGGTCCAGGACAGGCTTCCTTTTCCGTCTCGAGCCCAGCGGCCCCATCTCCTGGAATTCACAGAAACAGGAACTGGTTGCCCTGTCATCAACCGAGGCTGAATTCATCGCAGCAACAGCAGCCGTTCGCGAAGGCCTCTACCTTCAGGAGCTGCTGCAGGAGGCGAAAATTCCAGCCTCAACAAATTTTCGCCAAGGACGAAGTTGACAAAGGCAAGGTTGACCTAACCTACTGCCCGACGGGCGACATGGCAGCTGACTTCCTCACGAAGAAGCTGTCACGTCAGCAGTACCAGCACTGCTCCGAACTCAGCGGGGTAGTCAAGCGGGTCAAGACTCGCTACGGCCAGGAGTGAAGGGGGGTGTTACGAATAGTGATTGTTGAAACACTATTATACACTCCTCACCGCAACAATCGAAGCACGTACTACCGAGAATGAAGACGGACAGGCGGAGGTGACACGAAGAGTCACACGGTTACGAAAGGATCTGGACCGTCGGGCAGACAGCATCAGGCAGCAGCAGTGGCGAGGATTCTGTCCGAACAGTTTCGTAACTGTCTGGAGTCGCACGGTTGGATTTCGCTGCAATAAGGGAATGTAGCCCTTAGAGTACATGGCTAGCTAGGTCGATTGGTATTCCCTTGTAATCTTATTTATATCCCTTGTACTGCATGTTTTTATTATCTCAAGCATTTACATTCACTCTGCTATTGAGGTCAACGGCCCACCACCACTAGATTAGGACTGTGCGAACCTTCCTGAGGTGATCCTGAGGTTGATCAACTTCTGATCGCAACAGAAATAACGTGTGCTCCACGTGCTCCTTATAGGATGCTGGCCATCTCGGCCATGTTTCTAGATAGCTCTATGGTATTATTCTTTGTACATTGATTACGATCAATATATAACCTTAACCTTGACGGTGCCTTGAAAAAAACTGTAATTTTGACCAATGGTGGCCAGATTAGTGCCGACACATCAGGGCCCAAAATTGGTTTTGGGCCACCCTGCCTGATCACGGTCTCAGCCTGTCCCACCCTGATGGCCTAGGGTAAAATTTCTGATACGCTGACAAATACAGGCTAAAAAAAAAAGTAGCCTGACTGAATAAAAAACCATTTCCTATAATTTTCCTTGTAATACAAAAAACGTGTGTAAATGACCTAGTCGGATAATGAGATCTCCTCCGAATGGTAAGGTGTAGGTCCGAACCTTGATGTTGGCGAATTGTCTATTGAAGGTATGCTGGTTTCTCCGAATCGGTACCATTGCAATCCATGTGTTACACTTCTCAGCCAGGGAAAAAAATTTACTACACTGTTTTTGAAAGGGTAACAAAAAAACCACTAATTTGAAGAATGGGTAACTATACGGTTAGCCTGCCTTGATCAGGGTAACTGAAAAAAAGCGGCCTACAGAAAGGGCAAAAAGGGTATTTTACCCTGATATTTTGGGCCCTGCGACACATGTGCAGTCTTGGCGAAATTTTCGGTTTTGTCATTAAGCCAACGGGAATCCAGGGTTACGGGAAAGGGGGGGGGGGGGGGGAGGGGGGAGTGTGTGGTACTCGCTTCAGGGTAAAACTCACTAAGAAGAACGGTTACACTGAGGCCAAAGTGTGCCTAAAACGTAAACCCTGGCATATCAGGAAAAACTAAGCTCCTGAAAAAATTACCCTACGGCATCAGTGTGTGTGACCACAAAATACCACCCTGATAATCAGTGTATCAGGGTGATTTACACTGATAAAATTAGCCCTTGGACTGTAGTTTAACATTGATGTGCAAAACCTATTGTTCAACGGAATAACAGCCACCAGATAAGTCATACAGTATTCGTAGATAGTTGCTCTTGAGATTCAAGCACAGAAGTTATAGCTAATCAATTGAACCACAAGCATCATAATGCTGCGTGATTTACAAATTATTTGCTCTCGTGTCGAAATATATGCTCCGCACCTCAATTATCAAGCCTCCATAGGAGCAGGACCCTCAGACCCCTCCCCGGTACCACCCTCCTCTCCTTCCCCCTCCGCTGCCTTCTCCTCCTCCACATCCTCCACCTCTACCTCCTCCACAACCTCTACTTCCTCCTTTGCTGCCCCTCCCTGCCCACCCTCCTCATTCTCCATCCTATCTATATGCTCCTGCACCTGCGCATCTGTCAGAATGCCAAACGCTTGCCCCTCCCCCACAATAGAGACACTGCAGTTGGCTCCACTCAGCTCCCCCTCCTGCAGCGACTCCTTCACAGCAAGCAGCGCGTGTCGCACCAACTCGTCCAGCGAACACGCCCCGAACGACTCATACTTGCGCTCCAGGTACGTCTTGGCGGCCTGCGAACGCGCTCCGATTGCCATGGCGTGGAATTCCCAGAAGTTGCCCGACGGGCAGGTCTGAAAAATGTGCGGGCCGGTCTGGTCGAAGCCGGCCACCAGCAGCCCCACGCCGTACGGGCGGCGCCACGAGCGCTGCGTGCACACCTGAGATTTGTCTGCTACCATGGAGACAAGGCGGCCCACCGGGAGAGGCGACTCGAAGACAAACCTGGGAGGGGATGGGAGATGTGGGGAGGGTAGTGGATGGCAGGGCAGATGTGGACATGGGGATAGAGAGTTAAGGGGAAGAAAGTGGGAGGGAGAGAAGGGTGGTGGGAGACGGGGGCAAAGATAATTGAGGGGAGAGAATAGCGGTTTTACCACTGATATCGGAACTGAAGCCTGGCAGTACAAGGGCCTGTGGAACAACCCTGGGGGGAGACGGAGACGTAGATGAACATCGGAGACCACAGGTAAACGCACGCTAGTGAGACAAGGGAAAGTAGAGGGATGGCAGCAGATTGAAGGAAGGATGTCTGGAAGGGCGATGAGAGAAAGGTGAGGAGCAGTCCTTTGTGAGACACGCACCCATGCCCATGCGACAAGCGCCCATGCGACAAGCATCCACAGAACATTAATTCGCCCATGTGTACTCACTTATGTGACGCGCACTCGGAGCGCATAAATCGACACAGTAATGGCGATACCCATGTGGACGATCTTGCGCTGGTAGGACGCCAGGGGAGAGACTTGCGGCGCCCTCACTGCAGTAACCGGCTACGTGTGGGAGATGTTGCGCTGGAGTGGACGGTGTGTGGAGTGGACGGTGTGTGGAGTGGACGGTGTGTGGAGCAGCCATTGGTGCGTGAGGGATTGAAGCACGGGGCACTCACTTGTGAGACAAGCACTCGGAGCGCATGAAGCGGCAGAGCACGCGGCCGTCGGCATTGAGCCCAGCGATGGCGATGCCCATGTGGTCGTCCACGCGGAATATCTTGCGCTGGTACGACGCCAGGGGGGACGCAGCTCGCTTGAGCGTGGCGAGCACCGCGTGTGTGGTGCTGCGCAGACCCACCGCCGCACTGCCCTGCTTCACTGCCTCCATTGCATACTCCACCTGATGGGATGGGGGAGAGGGCAGGGGAGTGAGGGGGGCCAAGGAACGGAGAAGGGAGGTTAGGGAGTTATGCTGGCATGCATCGCTGCGCAGGCCGACTGCCCCACTGCCCTGCTTCACCGCCCCCATTGCATACTCCACCTGGTGGGGAGGAGGGGGGCAGACAGAGGGGGGGAGAGGGCATGAGGAAGGATAGCAGCGAGGCACACGTGTCTTGCCTGTGCCGCACTGCCCTGCTCCACTGCCTCCATCGCATGCTCCACCTGGTGCCATCTCCACCTGGTGCCATCTCCACCTGGTGCCATGTGCGGGGAGCGTGGGGGAGAGAAGAGCATGGCACGGGAGCGAGCAGGGAGGCACGGCAAGGGAAGGAGTGGAATGGGAGAGAGTGGCGAGCACTGCGTGGTTGGCACTGCGCACACTGCCCTGCGCACACTGCCCTGCGCACACTGCCCTGCGCACGCGACCTGCTGGTGGGGGGAGGGGGAGGGGTGTGAGGGGTGTGAGGGGTGTGAGGGATGTGAGGGGTGTGAAGGATGTGAGGGGTGTGAAGGGTGTAACGGGTGTGAAGGGGAGGAGGAGTGGAGAAGGGAGGTTAGGCAGCAATGCAAGCATGTCGCCCAAGCAGCAATGCAAGCATGTCGCCCAAGCAGCCCGTCAGCTGCGCCGCCCCCACGCCTTAATCCACCTTCGCATGGCAGCTGGAATGGGGTTGGGGGGACGCTTGGGGCAGAGGGAGGAAGGGCGGCTTGGAGACCAGTGCACGGCGTGCATGGCGTGTCCCCTCTCACATGCGCAGGAGCGAGGCCGTGGGGGGGGACAGGCGGGAGGGCAGCACGCGCGGGCGCGGGGGTTACCGGGGGCGACGCAAAAGGGAGGAAGCGATGGGGTAGGGCAGGCGAGGCGAGGCAGGGAAACAACAGCGGGAGGGCAGCACGCGCGGTGGGGAAACAACAGCGGGAGGGCAGCACGTGCGGTGGGGAAACAACAGCGGGAGGGCAGCACGTGCGGTGGGGAAACAACAGCGGGAGGGCAGCATGCGCGGTGGTCGCTGCGGGGGCTCGACGGGACGGGAACGGGCAGCCTGCAGGAGGGGGATTGAAGAAGGGGAGGGAGGGGGAGGTCGGGGAGGGAGGGAGAGGGCGGGAAGAGGGAGGGGAGGGGAGGAAAAAGAAGGGGAGGGAAGGGGAGGGGAGGAGAAGGGAGGGCGCGGTGGGTAAGGAGCAGTGTGGGGGCAGCAGCGTGCTGCTCGCTTGGCACCAAGGGGAGACGACGGTCTGGGCGAGGGAGAGCAGAGCAAGGGGGTTTCATGGGATCCGAATTCGGTCGCGGAATTCGAACGCTGATTTATTTTAGGGTGGCACAGCCGTCGCACTGCCATCGGACTGTAGAATTGTCCTACCGAGGCGATTCGCGAGAGGAGTTCGTGCCCTGGAGGCTTAGCAGTCTAACAGGCTGGCAGCCTCGCAGAGCGGTGAAACGTGATAGCAGCAGAGAGGCGGATCGGCGGGGCGAGAGGCGGAGAGAGGGGCGGATCACCTGGTGCAGGCGGCCGACGGGGCTCCACGTGGTGACATCCGTGTCGTACTGATTGCGAAACATGGTGGCGACGATACGGCGACGCGCGTGACAGCAAAGCCGAGGCGAGAGAAGAGGATACACTACACGAGGTAATTTGAGAAAGAAGATTATCCGCACCAGAATTGGCAGATCGGAGATTCGTGTAATTAGGACGCCTTACAATTGAAACATCGTTATGTAGGGGATCGATGTGTGGTCTTACAGTAGTATATCGTCATGTCTTGTATCCCTGTTTCGCTGATTTTCGCTAAGACTCGTGTCACGTCACCGAGGGCGAGATATCTTCCACAACGATCTGTCACCGCACTCAAATCAAGCGTTTGTAATCACGCAAACTAACGAACCTGAGGACGGTCGCAACACATGTGGCTCGGAGGAGATCGATGTTCTCAGCCTCGGTGAGTGACCGAAAACCTCCTCCGATGGTTTAATTGTAACGCGTCCTAAGGAGGGGACAAAGCGAAGGGAATAGGGTAATTACCTTCTGGGTAACCAACATCGAAGCCGCTGACGTCAAAAGTCACCTACGTGGCTCGATGGTACCCGTCAGATCATGCGCGCCCCTTCGTGGTACCCATCTTCCCTCCGTGGTACCCATCTTCCCTGCGTGGTACCCATCAACTGTGCGCGAATTCCCTGACTGGTACCGCAACATTTAAAACCAGGGTGCACATTCAACGCGGTTCGGCTTGAGATGTTGGGAAGGGGGTTTGGAGAAAAACAGTGATTGGCTCACGAGGGGCGACAAAAAAATGATTCCGCTAGAGCTTCGGGCATTTCGTAGGTGGCGGGAGGGGGTGAAATGGCGGGAGTGGGTGAAACCGAATGGCGGGAGGGATGAAACAGATTGGCGGGAGGGGGGGGAAACGAAATTGCGGGGGAGGGGGGAAACAAAATTGCGGGGGAGGGGGGAAACGAATTTCGACGGGGAGGGGGAAATGAAATTGCGGGGGCGTGGGGAAACGAAATTGCGGGGGAGGGGGGAAACGAATTTCGACTTGAAGGGGTTGAAAGCACACCTCGTAACCCACTCAGTCAAGGGATAACCTTTGATGCACATTCAGCTGAATGTGCACCCCGGTTTTAAACTGAGCTGTACACTGTACAACAAGGGTTTCAATGCGTTTTTCAGTACAACAAGGGTTTCAATGCGTATTATAACAACGTTTACACACTCTAATTGAACATTAATACCCTTGAACATAAATGTTTGAACGTGCCTTACACTGGACAGAGTGCAACATAGAAATAAATCAACTCCTCTTCTAAAATCCTCACATTAACTCCGAACCTTCGTAAGTGTTGAGTTACTAAGTAAGAGTAAGCTTAGGTTTTAGGTAGGGCCTAGGCTTAGTAGCCTAGGCCTAGGGGAAGTCGAGGAGGTTGTGCCAAGGTGAGAGTCGAGAATGGGAAAAGTGATGTTCACTATAGCACTAGGGTACATATAGTAAACAGAGCATGCAAAGAAGGTGCACCACCAACAGTTTATAATAACTACACTAAACTACAGCTACAGGCAGTTACATATAAATTCTAACACTCCCCCATAACTGCCTGCAGCAGGAGTTCGTGCAGAACACAACCTGCAGGGGTATACCAGCAACAGCAACAGCAGGTACGGTAACAGAGCAGGTACAGCAGCAAAGGGACAGGCGACAGCAAGAAATTCCTGCCACCCCCTTACTCTCTTCCCCCCCCAACCACAGGAGGGGCAGCAGGGAGAGTGAGGAGGCGGGCTGGCTCTGGCTGGTCACCCCCTCCATTTCCTCACCCTCCCCCTCCCCCTCCCCCCCACACTGCTGCAGGAGCAGCAGAGGGGGGAAGAGAGGAGAGGTGGAGGGACGGCTGCTGGTTGGTCTCACACCCGCCACCCCAGTGCCACTCCCCCGGCTCCCCCACACCCTCACACCCTCCCCCCCAGCGGCAGCTGCAGCAGTGGGAACGAAAGGAGGAGGAGGGGAAGGGAAGCACACCACCCATCACCCCAACACCCGCCACCCCCATACCCTCCCCCCCACGGCTGCAGGGAGACGAAGGAGGAGGGGGTGGGCGGGGAGAAAGCCGCAGAGCGGCTACAGAGGGTCGGCGCGGGTAGGTCAGGGGCGGCTGCAGTGAGTGCAGGCGCGGGGTGAGGCAGAGGCGGCTGCACCGAGTGCAGGAGCGGGGGCGGCTGCTCCAAGGGCAGGCGCCGGGTGGTGCAGGGGCGGCTGCAGCGAGTGCAGGCGCGGGTGAGGCAGGGGCACCGCCGAGTGCGCCAGGGGCGGGTACGCGGCGGCTCAGGACACCGTCGCAGGCGCCAGGGGCGGTTCCGCGGCGGCTCAGGGCACCGTCGCGCACCACGGGGCACGTGACGGGCAGTTTAGGGCACCGTCGCATGCCACGGGGCGCACGACGGGCAGGGCACCGTCGCGTGCCACGGGGCGCATGACGGGCAGGGCACCGTCGCGTGCCACGGGGCGCACGACGGGCAGGTTTAGGGCACCGTCGCGTGCCACGGGGCGCGCGACGGGCAGAAAAGATGTCACTCGCCACCCGGGGGCGGACAGGACGAAAATCGCCACGCGCCCGAGGCGCGCGACCGGAAAAACTGCAGCGGAAGCGTGAGGCGGGCCCACAGGCCAGGACGTAACTCGCTCTAATGCCATGTTGAGTTACTAAGTAAGAGTAAGCTTAGGTTTTAGGTAGGGCCTAGGCTTAGTAGCCTAGGCCTAGGGGAAGTCGAGGAGGTTGTGCCAAGGTGAGAGTCGAGAATGGGAAAAGTGATGTTCACTATAGCACTAGGGTACATATAGTAAACAGAGCATGCAAAGAAGGTGCACCACCAACAGTTTATAATAACTACACTAAACTACAGCTACAGGCAGTTACATATAAATTCTAACAGTAAGCTCACACCACTGAACGATAGGTAGAGTGAATCTTGCGACCATGTTTCGCAGCGCTCAGTCGGTTATTTGAACAAACTTTATAAGGTTGTATGCAAATAAATTGAGCATGCACCCCCAAAGCTAAACATAAAATCATAAACAAATAATACGTACATTCGTTGGTTTTTGGAAACAAAACAATACCCATAATGAAAATTAAATGTACCTTAAGTCAATATATACTGAACGTGTAAGTTGATTGTTTGCTATACGGATGTTTTTTTTCGGTTGATGCAATATATCAGTTTTACGTTATCTTATAGCACGTTATATTGTCGATGTTTCTTAGCCTAAACAAATCTACACAATGAATGTTTTTTATTTAAGAATCCAGCTTTTCTTCTACACTCTATTATAGGTAATGCGTGTGATAAATTGACTCGATTAGGTGGCACTTCGGGCTTCTGACTCTATTGAGCTTGTAAACGTTAAGACAATATACTGAAAAACGCATTGAAACCCTTGGTGTACGGTGTACAGCTCGGTTGAAATGTTGCGGTACCAGTCAGGGAATTCGCACACAGTTGATGGGTACCACGCAGGGAAGATGGGTACCACGGAGGGAAGATGGGTACCACGAAGGGGCGCGCATGATCTGACGGGTACCATCGAGCCACGTAGGTGACTTTTGACGTCAGCGGGCTCGATGTGAGTTACCCAGAAGGTAATTACCCAAGGGAATAATGTGGAGCATGAGAAACCTCGATAAGAAGCTGTGCCAAAAAACGAAGCTAAAAGATATCATAGATTCTGTCACGTAGGAATACTTGCTTCAGCAGCTATTGTGAATTTTCATTCCCATAAAGAGAAACTAGCAGTTTTTCATTGTCAAATTGTGGAGGTCTCATGGAAAATATCTCAGTATTTTGTCTGTGTTGTATTGAGTCCAGTTATAATATATCTTGAAATCACTCGAAGGTCGATTTGGAGAGGATAAGGTGCTAGGAGTTTAAGACAGCGGCTTAGAGTGACCTACTCATAGTGAACGTTGTTACGATAAGTAAAATAAGAGTGCAGTCCATTCCTGCCCGTAACAAAGAAACATACACTAGCTAGCTAGTACCGTACGAATGTGAACAGTCAGAGTTACGCAAAACGTTGCGTACAGTTGGGACATATGGACCGTCAGCGGCAGGAAAATCGGGCAGCTGCATCGCCAAGGAATTGGCGGGAACAGGTTCGTAACCGATTGTTAAGAAGTGTTAACAGCGGAATGAAATGCACCAGCAACAGTTGGATACAAGTAGCAAACCCTAGCAATGTTGTACCTCCTATAGCATGCCTCACTATAGCATAACATAAGTATATATGTTTTGACACACCCCCATAGGCTACGTGAGGGATAGCGAGAACAACAAACGGTCACAAGACCAGTCAGGAGAAGAAACAAATCAACGCTCAGGGTCGATCTCAAGATGCACAAGCAAGCGGCCACAAGGCCAGTTCATATGCAGGGTGATAATAGAACAAGCAGTGCAGCAATGACAACCTAGCAAGAGTATGCATGGAGGTATATATATATAGTACAAGGCAAAGTTAAGAGGTAAGCAAGTGAGGCAGAGTAGGCACAAGGCGTAGAGCAGTGCCAAAACGCTGATGATCACCAGAACCTAGGGCCTTGGTGAAGATATCAGCAGTGTTGGCCTGTGAGGCCACGTAAGCAAGGCGAAGCTGACCACGCTGCTGTAACTCTCGTTCAAGAAAGTCACGAAGAGAAATGCGCTTCGTTTTGTGCCCCAGTCTCTGCTCCCGACACAAGGCAATCATGGCCTTGTTGTCGACGTACAGAACCGGAGGAGAACGAGGCCACTCACCCAAGTCAGTCGGCAAGTAGGTCAGCCAGCGTAACGCCTGCACAGCCATAGCCCCAGCGTAGATCTCGGCCTCACAACAGAAGCTAAGCACAGAAGACGAGCGAGTGGACCTCCAGGAGACAGAACCAGTGCCGAGACTAAAAGTGTAACCCTGTGACGACCGCTGAGTCGCCTGGTCGTCAGCCCAAGAAGCGTCGGAGTGGCATGTGAGCACAAATGGGCCCTGTAGCCCAAGCACAACCCACATGCCTGATGTACTGTACAAGTAGCGCAGTACCCT